TGAGATGATGGCTAGCTTTGTTTAATGTCTTATGAAATTTTCATGAACAATCCAAACATAATTGTTAAGAACATGTATTAAATTGATGTAAGTGGAATAAAAGTTTTATGAATGGACTTTTCAACTACTTTCTCTACAGCTTTTCATGTAAATTAATTTTTTTGGTTCTGAAAACTTCTCTAAAGGAAATTGTACATTTTTGAAAATGTATTCCTTACTCCCTCTTGGCAGCTAATGAATGGGCTTTTACCAAGTTTAAATACAAAGTTTATCATAACAAAAATGCTACTAATATTACTACTACTGTTCCCAACCATGTCACATTGCCCCCTCTCCCCCTCAGAAAGATTTCTTTTATATTTTTAGTGGTGGGAGATTGAACAGAAAAAAGTAATAAGTTCCATTAAAATTTTTGGTATATGGCATTTTCTAACTTAGGAACCCACAATGTTCTTGGCTCATTGTGACATTGGATAGCATTAATACACGTTTGTGCTTCCAAATCACTTTTGGTTTTTAAAAATTTCTTGATACTCTTATAGCCTGCCTTCAGTTTTGGTCCTTTGATTCTTTTTATTGTCAGGTGCACAGGATTACCTTCCCTTTTTTAGCCTTATTCTATCTTGTCACCAACCATTTCTAATTGGTGGCCATGTATTTAGAAAAAGGCCGCATGATCTTTCTGGCTCCACTCAATGTCTAAGAGACCCTGCTTCCTTTGCTTGCATCCCACAAACTATTTCCCTCATCCTATTTACTGCAGCAGATCTCCTTAGTTGATGAGATTGTGTTTATCTCCCTGTAAACCCTACCTATCCTGAATGGTCTGTCACTGTCCGCTTTTAAATCCTTTCTCTTCCTCTGTTCTCTAACTGATGATGATGGGGCTAAGTTATACCCAAAGCTCACCCTACAGAATATTTCCTCCTCAGTACCTTGCAGAAAACACCAAACAAAAATCCCATTTTAAAAGGTGTATTTTTTTTTTCTTTTAGAATGTAAGCTCTTCAAGAGCAGGGACAATGTTTTCTGTATGTTCTATTGTGCCTAGTACACTGTAAATGCTCAATAAATATTGATGATGGGAGGCAGTGAGTCTTGATGATAAGGGTGAGAAACTGAAATCCAAAATAATGGTTTTGTTCCTTGTTTCTTTATAACGTCAGCTTAAATCAGAAAATAATCGGCCCTTTTGACAATTTTCCCAAATATTACCTTTAAATAAAAGTTCAGTGGAGGCCTTTGAGTCCGTTTCAGGGAGAAAAGATCTTTTCTGCATTTTGGACATCTTCACTCTGAGCGTTTTTCTTTTTACCTATTCATTTTTCCTGATCCTCTAGCCAAGAAGGTGAAGTAATTTTATAGGTAAGGAAAATTAAACTAGACTATCATAGACAAATAATTTAATTATAAATAAAATCTGAAACACTACATTTGCCTGGTAGCTATTTATCACTCATCTAGTTTGAATTTGTTTAAATATTAGTTGTTAATTTAACCTATTTCAATGCTAATAACCTTTTAAAATTCCAGCTTACCTTTTACTTAAGTCAAGACCAGCTTGGGAAGCTGTATCACTTGTGGCCACACCTCAGCCTGAGTAAAACCATTTACTGACTAGAGCAGTGAGGGAGGTATTTAAAAACTTGGTAGGCTCAGGGTAGTAAGGAGAGAACAGCACTTTGTTTGGATTCAGGTGCATTGTAGTCACTGTTAGCCTCCAGTGTTTGGACTCTTTTTGGTGTTTAGTGCTTAGATCATATTTTTTTTTATTGTTTTGTCCCATTCCACTTCAGAAACTGCAGCAATGGAATTACATCTGCAGTCTTATGGCTGAGGCTGAACACTTACAAAATGAGTAGACTTTTTTAAAAATGTGAAAGTACATTTTAATAAAATGCTTTTCAATTTGACTTCTGGCAGTCAGCAATTTGGTTAATTCCAGCTTGTTCCTTTTCAAAGGCACCACTTCCCCCCCCCCAAAAAAAAAACACCCAACAACCAAAAACAAACCAACACCCCAGTTTCTGAGGCTGTAAATTTTTGCATGAGGAGACTGCCAATCTTTTTAGTGACTGGTGGATTCCAGTGACCTTTTGATTAGAAGTCTGTAGTTAATTAAAGCCTGCCATAAAGTTTGACTCACTCCACATGACCCTCAGTCATGTTTTTTGGGGCTATAAAACTCTACTGGAAGAGATGCCCATCTTTTAAGCTGCCTGTTGCATTTGTCAGTCTTTGGGTTAGCAGTCCCAAAATGAGTGTGACTGCTTGAGTTTAGTAGATATTTTTATGAACTTGACAACCAACACCTGAGGGAAATGATAATTTTTAAAGACTTATTAAATGTTCAGAAACATCATAGTAGGTATTTTATAAAACTAAGCTAATTTTTAAAATGTTTCTTTACATCCAAATAGAATCATGTCGCTCCTGAACCTTTTGAAACCACTTCATTCCCATTTACGTGACTATTGACCCCAAATATTTCAGAATGGTAGGCCAGTTTGGAAAGTACCTGTACCTGCGTTATATGTCTGAACCTTAATTACCCAATTTTGTAAGAGTTAATTTTTCTGTATAAGCATGCTTGGACATGTTGATATGTTTTTTATTTGTATCTAAGGACAAGCTAACCAACTATAATAATGCCAGAGATCATGAGTTTGTCATTTTTTCAACCTCTTGCATGGGATTTCTGAAAACCCAGACTGGCTATTTAAAAAACAACAGAAATTAGGGCCAGGTGCTCTGGTGGCCTAGTGACAAGAAGCTGCACTGCAATCCCAGAGGTAGGCAGTTCAAATCCAACAGATGCTTTGCTGGAGAAGGAAGGGCATTCTCCTGTAAACCAGTCATACCTGATTTTACAGTACACGCACACAATTTTTAAAAAAATTAGTTCCAAGAACTTTAAATGATACTACTGTTTTCTAGAAGTAGATGTTTGCATTGAGTCAGCCCTAATCTCTTGAATAGCTGCTCAAGAGTAGATTTTGTTAATCAAGAGTGAATGGAGACTAGGTCAAATGAATGGAATCCAGGTCAGGCTATAGCATGTGCAAAGGGACTTAGGCAGTATGTATATGTTCTCTCAAGTGAAGGTCTGAGACAATGCAGAATGAAGAGATGTCCTGTTTGCCTATGATTTTCATCAGTAATGCTTTACCATGACATGAGGGATGCTTGTTCATAATGGTTATCCCTCACATCCACCGATTATTTTTCTTTTGTGACTTCTGATGCCCAGAACTGGTTTACTCATAATCCTGTCGGATTCCCTGGTCCTTATATGCCTCTGAGTAAGTGGTAACCCACCACTACTCAACCCCCAGTGTGGAATATTCTTGAACTATATCCTCTTGCCTTGGCCATCCCCTAACCTCTTCCCCCTAGTGGCTGCTATTTTGAATTACCATTCATTTCCCTTAGATGACTGACTAGCATGTATCTCTAACGAAATGATTGGCTCACTTTTTAAGGTTATCACAATTTTTTTTACCTTGTAACATTTTTTAAATGACTCAATTTTATAAATAAAGAACAGATGTATGATGATGGTAACGGTTCGCATGGTGATGGAACTGTTAAAATTGCAGCAGTAGAACTTACAGGTGATAAATCAGAATCAAATATAAATATACATATCAGTATAAGCAATACTATCTTTAAAAGATAAGTGGTGTAGAGAGCATGTGCAATGTGAGGGTGGCTGAGTTCTATTTGCTTCATAAAGGGAGCTATCCCCATCAATAATAGCCATAGCAAACAGCTGCTAGATCAGACACTCTGCCCTTCATGCTCCTGCATCTTTTTCTACCAATCATAAGGCTCTGATACGCATCATCGACTCACAAACTTTACACACAGTTGTGATACCAAGAGTAGGGTTTATTGGGGAAGTAGGGAGAGTGGGGAAGGCAAAAGAATATCAACCAATGCAAACTCAGGTTTTAGCCTAGCAGTCCCAAGGCACAATTCTCAATTAGTCCAGGTTCCAGTTTCAGTTGAACATTTAGCTTTTGCTCCCATCATTTGGCAAAAACTGCAAGAACCTTGAACTGTGACCTTTATCTCAGGATTCCCCTGGTTACTTAAACCTTGCCACAGTTTCTCCACAGCTGTGGTAGACTTTCCACCACCATCATCAGGATCTCAACTCGCAAAAAGGTCTTGGTCCAGTCTCCCTCGTCTTGCTGCCCAGAGTGGCAAGCACGTTCTACCTCTTATCCTAGCCCTGCAGCTGTTGATACTTAAAATTTTTAGTGTATTGGAGCAGTGTGAGAGAGAGATGGGTACTAATTAATTACTCATAAGCAAATCATAAAATATGAGTAGCTTGCTAATTTGAGGTGTAAGGGAAAACATCAAAATGGACAAAAAGACAAAGGAAATTCAGCGAGCTGTCGTGGCTTAGTGGCAGGAAGCTGCACTACCGTCCCAGAGGTGTGTGTTTTGAATCCACCAGAGGCTTTGCTGGAGAAGGGGGGACAATCTTCTGTACCAGTCAGATCAATTTGACAGTACACACACACACACAATAATTTTTTCAAGATAATTTTTAAAATTCAGC